CGATAATGTTATAATGGTTGATATGCAGTTCAAAATGTGTAAAATCGTTTTCTCTACAATATGTGATCATAACGAAGTCGAAAAAGCAGTGGGCCAAATGCAGTGGAAAAGCGGGCCCCCTCCTTTCTTATTTATTAGTTTTAAAATACTAAAAATTACCACAAAAATAATCTGTATTAGGCCTAGTGATGCTGTTGATTATGTTTTAAAACAATCTGCACAAAAATTAACTGTACAATATTTTTGTGATCTTCTCATTCGCTTCGAATATGTTACTGACGTTGATCTTATACAATTAACACGTACTGCTTTATTAAATATTCTTTGGAGTATATCATTTAACGAAACATACAAAAATCCAATGAAAATAAACGACAATTTTATGAGCGTTATCAAATCTTTAGCAGACAGCAATGATAAAATTGTAACGGAACACTACCTTCCCAAACATTTATCGAATAATAAAAAGGCTCTTGATGGTATTCTGTTCAATATAATTGACCCATTAGAACCTGTGGTACTAGAAAAAAACTAGTAAAAAGCGTCCATTGGTAATGATTAGTTATTCACATACTGATAAAAAATTTTGTTATCAATTAGTTGATGCTTTAAAAATAAGATGTACTAACGTTGATTGGTGGACTGATTTTATTCGTCAACGTTCCGATAGAGAAATGCCTCAAGCTGCTGATGTCTGGGAAGAGGTTGCTCATGCCATCGAAATATCAACTACTATCGTGTCAATCATCACTGAAGATTATTACAAGGGTAAATCGTGTCGACAACAACTGGCTTATGCTAATGATACATTAAAAAAACGTATTATTCCAATATATGCAAATACAGTGAAAGATTACAGGGCTACTGGACGGTTAAGTATTCGAATTGCTCCATTAAAATATATTCACTTTGGTAAGAAGACATTTGATGTAGCAATAGAAGAGTTAACTGATATAATTTTAGAATACATTGAAATGAAACGGTCAACAATCGTCGTTACATGAATTTCAAGCACTCGAAGCTATTCCAGCAATCGTCGAACAGATAACAACGACTGACGAGAATCAAAGTCCTTCTGTCTTATGTAATAAACCATTGAAAGAATGGACTGCTGAAGATGTGAACTCGTGGTTCAATCAAAATAATATTCATCCTGATTTGAAAAATTTATATCAATTTAGAACTGATACAGCTCTCATACTCTATTTTGATCATTTGAAATCCAATCAGTCACGTGAATATCAAATAACGTACGACCTCTACGAAGATAAATATGAAAAAACGCTAAACACCGCTTATTTTATTAACTTTGTTGACGTTCTAACTCGTTTAAAGGAAAAACAACAATATGAAACAAACACAAAAACAATAATCTTAAAAAGTTGCATAATCAATTAAATGTCACATGTCAGCCGAGTTCTGTTTTCAAAAGTAATCAGTTGTGTAAGTTTATGAAGTTTCACCGTTTACAAGGAAATAGATTTTTGTTGTCAGATTTCTACATGCAAGTAAAAATTTTTGTTTGAAACGGCAGACTCGAGGTGGACTCTAACTTTATGTCCTGAACTCAGCTGATAGAGGTTCTACTTTACACTATAAAACTACACTGATAAGTTTGCTTGAAGTTGTGCTCAATCGTTATAAGTGTGCTTGGAATCAAGACAGCGCCCTATCGTTGTATTCTTTAAACAGAAAAATCAAATTATTAATATGACTAACAATTCTTTCTTATCCGCGCCACTATTATTAGTATAGGACATTCGTCGTAACTTCATAATAATATGTGTTAACTTTTGTTAATCAAATAAGAAAGTTTAATAAAGACACCTAACTCTCTTACTTGCGAAGAAAAACTTACCATTGGCATAGTAAACCATTATTTAACTAGACAGACAACCCACCTGCCAGTGCAAAGAACAAAAGTTTTTCTCTCATAAGTTTCTCATCCAGGAGATATGAGGCAAGACGAGCGGATCATCAACAATAACTACGTTGATTTTTATTAATGAAACTTATTTGTTAGCTTTTGAGCCTCTTTTCCTAAAAGTTGTTTGTGCTTTCCACGAGATCAGATGTAGTTAACCGGAGCGTTTAGTTTGTTTGCTAGAAGCTTTTTTTGCAAAATACAACGCAAAAATTTCTCTATACGGCGTTCTTGTGTACTGCAACACAATCAGACATGTAAGAACAAACGCTAACATAACACAATGTACCGTATATCAACAACAAGTAGAACAATTTGTTAAATACAAATGGCAAATAATATTTCCGACTTACAGTCATCATTTTAAATTCAATATATAAACAGCTATTCAAGATTCTCATATTAAACGGGAGACAAAGGATTTCATCTTCTCAGCATGTTTAGTTCATGCTATAGTGAAAAGTTTCCCGTTCAGTTTTTTAATGCCAACTCACAGTGGGTATTTTTCGCTAGAGTGGTGGTTGGTAACTATGAAAAGCACTTCTTTATAGATTTCTGACTATGTTCTATCTAATGGTGAGATCGGGAAATTTCGTTATTGGGCTTTCAACTGGGTCTGTGGAAAACCCAAGAATTTACCGGAGCTTTTTTTCGCATATTTGGTAATACTTACCTATGTACAACAAACGACGCTAATTACCATTATCACCATATTGTCCAATAGAATTGTAATTAAAAACTCGGTTTTATCGGATAACAGCTCTTCAGCATAAACACTATAGAAAACTCTAATACTTTTCTTTTACATCCCAAACTTCTGCTTATTGCTAGAAGAAATCTTTTCATCTATGAAAAGCAATCTCAACAATTTTACCCGGATATTGTTGTACGAAAACGAGCCATAGAAATGCGTCCGTGGTTATGAACGTGAGAGAAGGACGAGTGAGTAAATTTATTTCAAACATCAGCAATTAGAGAACAAGTATAAGAAATTTCATCAATTAACAACAATAGAAAAGAAAATCCTGCTACGAACCAGATTAAGAAAACAGACTAAAGAATGTGTGTTCCAACCGCAACGAAAAAGAATTAGTTACACTGTTATAAGATTTCGCTGTTAAGAGACATAGTTTTGTAGCATTTTCTGTTAGAATGAGATGTTCGAAGGACAAAGTGTTAGAGACAGAAACCTTAGATGAATATTGTTGTAGGAATATGACCAATTTTTCCTAAGAAAAATTCGCGATAATTTCTAATGTCTTTTGCTACTGCATTCTAATGCTAGATAACTCCTCAAAAGAACCAAAAAGATGCGTTTGTTTTCCGAAGCCACTTGAATCAAATCCAGTGTTTGAAAGCGCACGTGAACAATGTGGGCAACAAAATGATGTTTGATGTAAACATAGTTTATTTAACATGGGGTGGTAATCGAACTAGTATAGATCCCACGGTAATAAAGACTCACAGCTTAAAAACACAGAAAAACCAGAGGGGTAAAGACAAGCAAGAAAGAGAAGAAGAAAAAAAGGAACGAAAGAAAAAAGAAAAAAGTAAAAATATTAATGGAGGAAAACGTTTTATTTCACTAATATAATGTGTAACGGCTTTATATACGGTGGATTTTACCCTTATGATCGGTTATGAAGGACTGGGTAGCAACAGCAAGTCAGAAGGCGTGGGTCTTGATCCTAAAATAGGCTGCAGGTCATACAACATTTTTTGTCCGAGTACATGGTGGTTCTTGCAATCCAGAAGAAAGTGTCTAGCGGGCTCTTTCTCCCCGCAGCCGCGATTGGCCCTTTGAAGTACGTGAGAGAGTATTTCTGAAACAACTCCTGCTTACATTTTTTAAAGGTATTAATTGCCTGTAAGTCTTTCATGCTCTTATTATTCCATTCTTCAACACACACCGGCTGATATGTTTGCTTTGCGGTTAGGAGGTTGACAATACCCGGCGTCAGCATCAACTGTCCGTCACTTCTCAGCCCTAATCCTTTTTCTGCGATAGAATCTCTTAGTTTGCTATTAAAGCCAAGTTTCCACATCTTACAGAACAGCAAAAGTCGATGAATGCAATATAGATCATTAACGCTATTCCATCCAAGGAGTGTTAGGATGTTTTCTCCCTTCATTCCCTTGATTGCACCAGCAACAACGCATGCTGCTGCATATTGAAGTGAAATTATTTTTTGAATATTTTGATCTGTCGTATTCGAATAAACAACGTCAGCATAAGAGATTATTTGTAGAATCGAAGTTTCACACAGTATGTTTAATACGTGAAGCGAAAAAATATTTTTTACAAGCTTAAACATAGTAAGGATCTTATTACAGTCTATGTTATAGACTGTAATAAAGATTTTAAAAACATAGATTTCAATACATTTTTCTACATAAATGTATTCACACACATTTAAAGCATAAGATTCGTTTAAATACATTTTTTCATAAATCTATTTAAACATTTTTTTAAAAAACCTATTTAAATTTCTACAACATTTTGAAGACATTTCAACACATGTGAATGTGAATTATATAATCTGTTTCATTAGCCTCCTCGTTTCTTTTATTTTTGGAAACCTACTGGTCCACTGCCTGTAGACCGGGCTCCTCCCTCTGAGCGAAGTCCTATGAACCTAGAAAAGAAAAGTCGGAAGTTTACAAATCAAAGAAACGGAGCGCGCGGCACTTCCAATGGCGGCACACAAATTCCGCTTTTTCATACCAGTGACATTTAGGTCACTGAATGAGAGACAAGAAAGTGGTCAAGATCTGGTAGAATGATGTTGGAACATGAAATGTCACCTAAAATACATCAGAAAAGGTTTCTCTCATCTCGTTTCAGATCGTTGACTTTTCTCAGAAAGCTCCTAGTTGCAGTTATATATCAGCGATGTACTCTTTCTTTGCTGTGGTTGATGATGAGTCATGAACAAATTACATCACATTACATGCTAATCGATATTGTTTAATTTCATTTGGTATTGATTTTACATGTGAAAATACAATTATTTGTTCAATATGTTTTTCAAACTGAGTAACTTTCATGTTCGAATCTAATATACCATTTACTGAATGTTTTGATTTAAAAAATTGTACTATCAATTATCAATGTCTCTGATTTGATCATCTTTCAATACTCCTGCCTCCTCTATGTTATACCTTACTGACTTTCTTAAAACAGGATATCATTGATGAACGATGACTATGATTGAACAGTTTATATAACGAAATTTGATAATCTTCTTGTTTACCAATTATGTTTCCAGTTAATTCATAAGCTTTTTCACAGCGTCCTCTAAAATAATAAATAGAAAATCGATTTTGAGAATATTGTTGTAAATAGGCTGGGCTACAAAATGAGACCACCACCATTTCGTGATCTTTCTTCAAAAAGTTACGAGATTTTAAGTTTTTCCTTGAAAATCTAAAAAAACTCAACTTTTCAGTTTCATAAATGTTTCTCTCCTATCCTGCACATTCAAATTTACACATGGTCTAATAGAAGAAAGTGTTCTCTCACAATAAGATGTCACCAAGACTTTTCCGATGCGTTTTCATGGACAGGCATGCAACAATCCCAAGCTAGGGCTCGTTGATCGGCAGCGAACGGTTCGTTACCGAAAATGTTCGCTAACAAAAAGGTGCGCTATTGAAGGTTTAAAAGTATATTTGTCAAAGCTAAGAACGCGAGAGCGAAAAAACACAAAAGAAATGCCTGTCAGAAAAAATGGTGAAGATTTCACCAACCGAAGGAGCAGGCATGATTACGCCGTGTCCGTAAGTAAAGAAAAGTTTGAATAGGCGTGTTACATTAAAAGTTATCTTCTCAACAAATTATCGAATCATCCTGAAACTTGAGCCTCAGAGGTTTTAGATCACGCTCTTCAATTTTGTTTCTTGGAAGAACTCGCTAAAACATCAAGAAGTAGGGTTTCCAGAAAACCCTAGTTTTTTAGGCACCGAGTCTTGGAGAAAAATTTTTGTAGAGAAACGCAGCGCCGAAAAAATTTTTTGAATTACATATTCGGAATCAGCGTCGAACGACGATGATTTTAAAAATAAGTCTGAGTCTCTAATTCAAAATTTGAATTTTTAAATTGAAATTGAAATTTTAAAAAATCAACTTTTGTTAGAACTTAAACAATTCGACTCAGAAAAATGATAGAGACCTTGCATTTTCGCTATCGAGTAGAGCACTGAAAATACCACAAACGTAGGGATTTGACAGAGTTAAAGTATCACGTGATTAGGATTTTTTAAAGGATCTTTGGAAAACCTCCTCCTCATTTTGCTATAATTTCAAACTTTTATTTTCGAACTTTTGGCGATGAGAAGAGACTCCATACACACCATAAAACATATTATCATACCGAAGCTTTTAAGTAAGATATCATTCCATAGAGTATTCAAAGTTGAAGAAATTAGAACAGTTTGATATATCTGCTTTGCTATTCATTTTTTCTCAGTAGTGGGATCATTCTAATGACTTTAATTTCCTATTGATGGAAGAAAATAGAATGTTCTGACATAAAAAGGATCTTTTCAGCTATCTATTAATAGTTTGGTTTTGTGCACATGAAAATGCATGTTAAAGTCAAAATATTAAGGTATACATGTTCTAGAAGTTTATCGGACACGAGAAAAGTTTTTATAACTTTATAAGAAAAAAGTACTTAGCTTTCCAAAAATAAAAAGTACAGACAAGTTCCTCCACAATCATCCTGTACAGACATTGATGAGAGAAGATTGCTGGATACCGCAGGATAGACATAGAGAACAAAATCCTTTTCTTTCAACCAACAAAATCCTGCCAGATCTCGTAGGGAAAAACTTGTGGATTTTGTGGACATTTTGACTTATTCATGAATAAGTCAAAATAACCGGCGATGTTTTTACCGTTACGCAGAATTCTTTCCATGTTAACCCTACGTAAACTATGCAGGATCCCATCACGATCGGCAGTATAAAAATCGTGCATAAAGGTAAGAAACATCCTCAGATATTTTAATACCGACAACCCGCGGGATCCTGCATGAAGTTTTATAACTTTTTTCGATGGGTAGTCGGATAGACTGACGAAGTACACCATTCGATTCAGTTTGTAACGCTGATTCCGAATATGATATTTTTATTAAATAAAACGTGAGTCCTAATGAATAAAATTGAGAATAGCGATAGAATTTCGATTTTTGCGCTTCTGATCTAGAAAATATTTATATTATTTATTTTGATAATGGCGCAATATTTTCTTTCGAAAGTACATTTGTTGTATGTGAACCGAGTGAGGGTTTGATTCGTTTTGCCACAACATTTATAAATAAAATTGCATTTGTTGGTGATTCAGAGTGACGTGTACGATTTGTGGTAGAGGTGTTTCTTTCAGGTTTTTTTCGTTTCGGTTTCACTAAAGAAACGCGAACATACGTCAGCAGACTATGTACGAAAATAAATAGATAAGTGACCTTACCATCTTGAAATGATTCTGTAACTTCTTCTTCGTTACTGTTTTCATTCAGCGCGGGATAGAGAAATTCACTGGTATCTCCACGTGATTCTCGCATTTTTCTAATACAGAGCACTTTTGGACCTAAACTCATAAGAGATCCGAAATGCACGAATGTTGTTCGAATATTCCTTTTTGGGATAGTCATACACCTCATTATTCGCAACTCTCTCTGCGACTTACTCAAAGTTTCAATCGGACCACTAAAATCATTGCCATTACTATGATAAGTAACATATGAATCTTGTTCAATCGAGCATCTTTCGACAGGAGCTAACATTTAAGTATAATCACTCTCATCAAAAAAACAACGTGTGTCACACTTGTAGTACGTTTGCTGCCATTACGTGCTTGTAAGGAATTGTACAATACCGCGTAGCCAGTTTTGGGATGTCTAACATTAATATTAGACAATCATATTATAGCAGAACTTTGTAACAAACTTTCACGTTTATATCCTGAAAAAGAAAATTATGATGTTGCTTCAGTATATTACGAAAAAAGTTTACATTTACAGCAAACTGTTGATTCAAGTAATAAAATAAAAATTACACTTTCTGTAATCATCTCCCAATATTCTGCAGGCATGGTCTGCCTTCCTTATAAAGCAGAGAAGCAGACAATAAGGTTATCTTGTAAATTGAACATTCAGATTTGGATATTCTCTAAGTATGGTCAGTTTTTCTCATAAAGCAGAGAATCAGACAATCAGATAGTCTCATGTGTCGAATGTTCAGATTTGAATATTCTCTGAGTATGATAAGTCCTTCTCATAAAGCAGAGCATCACACAATCACACAATCTTGTATGTCGAATATACAGATTTGGATATTCTCTAAGTATGATAAGAATATTCCCATAAAGTAGAGAATCAGACAATCAGATACTCTTATGTGTCGAATATTCAGATTTGGATATTCTCTAAGTACGGTCAGTCCTTCTCATAAAGCAGAGCATCAGACAATCAGACAGTCTTATATGTCGAATATTCAGATACGGAAATGGCCTCAGTATGGCTTGTCTTCCATGCATAGCAGAGAATCACACAATCACACAATCTTGTATGTCGAATATACAGATTTGGATATTCTCTAAGTACGGTCAGTTTTTCTCATAAAGTAGAGAATCAGACAATCAGATAGTCTCATGTGTCGAATGTTCAGATTTGAAAATTCTCTGAGTATGATAAGTCCTTCTCATAAAGCAGAGCATCACACAATCACATAATGTTGTATGTCGAATATTCATATTTGGATATTCTATAAGTATGGTCAGTTTTGCTCATAAAGCAGACAATCAGATAGTCTTATATGTCGAATATTCAGATACGGAAATGGCCTAAGTCTGGCTTGTCTTCCATGCATAGCAGAGAATCACACAATCACACAATCTTGTATGTCGAATATACAGATTTGGATATTCTCTAACTATGGTCAGTTTTTCTCATAAAGCAGAGAATCAGACAATCAGAGAGTCTCATGTGTCGAATGTTCAGATTTGAATATTCTCCGAGTATGATAAGTCCTTCTCATAAAGCAGAGCATCACACAATCACATAATCTTGTATGTCGAATATTCATATTCGGATATTCTATAAGTATGGTCAGTTTTGCTCATAAAGTAGAGAATCAGACAACCAGACAGTGTTTTGTGTCGAATGTTCAGATCTGGAAATGCCCTCAGTATGGCCTGTCTTCCTCGCAGAGCAGACACTCACACAGTAAGATAATCCTATATGTCGAATATTCAGATTTGGATATTCTCAAAGTATGGTCAGTTTTCCTCATAAAGCAGAGAATCAGACAATCAGATAGTGTTATGAGTCGAATGTTCAGATCTGGAAATGCCCCCAGTATGGCCTGTCTTCCTCGCAGAGCAGACACTCACACAGTAAGATAATCCTATATGTCGAATATTCAGATTTGGATATTCTCCAAGTATGGTCAGTTTTTCCCATTAAACAGAGAATCAGACAATGGGGATAGTCTTATGTGTCGAATATTGAGATCTGGAAATGCTTTAAATATGGCCTGTCTTCGTTGCAGAGCAGAGAGTCACACAATCACATAATCTTGTATGTAGGATATTCAGATTTGGATATTCTCTAAGTACGGTCAGTTTTTCTCTAAGTACGGTCTGGATATTCTCCAAGTATGGCCAGTTTTGCTCATAAAGCAGACAATCAGATAGTCTTATATGTCGAATATTCAGATACGGAAATGGCCTAAGTATGGCTTGTCTTCCATGCATAGCAGAGAATCACACAATCTTGTATGTCGAATATACAGATTTAAATATTCTCTAAGTACGGTCAGTCCTTCTCATAAAGCAGAGAATCAGACAATCAGATAGTCTTATGTGTCGAATATTCAGATACGGAAATGGCCTCAGTATGGCTTGTCTTCCATGCATAGCAGAGAATCACACAATCACACAATCTTGTATGTCGAATATTCAGATTTGGATATTCTCTAAGTATGGTCAGTTTTTCTCATTAAACAGAGAATCAGACAATCAGATAGTGTTATGTGTGGAATGGTCAGATTTGAATATTCTCGAAGTATAGTCAGTCCTTCTGATAAAGCGGAACATCCGACAATCGGATAGTCTTATGTGTCGAATATTCAGATCTGGAAATGCTTTAAATATGGCCTCTCTTCGTTGCAGAGCAGAGAATCACACAATCACATAATCTTGTATGTCGGATATTCAGATTTGGATATTCTCTAAGTATGGTCAGTTTTGCTCATAAAGTAGAAAATCAAACAATCAGATAGTGTTATGTGTCGAATGTTCAGATTTGAATATTCTCGAAGTATGGTCTTTCTTCCTTATAGAGCAGAGAATCAGACAATCAGATAGTCGTATATGTCGAATATTCAGATTTGGATATTGTCCAAGTATGGTAAGTCCTTCTCATAAAGCAGAGAATCAGAGAATCAGATAGTGTTATGTGCCGAATATTCAGATCTGGAAATGCACCAAGTATGGTTTGTCTTCCATGCGCAGCAGAGAATCACACACTCACACAATCTTGTATGTGGAATATACAGATTTGGATATTCTCTAAGTATGATCAGTTTTTCTCATAAAGCAGAGAATCAGACAATCAGATAGTCTTATGTGTCGAATGTTCACATTTGAATATTCTCTAGCTATGGTCTCTCTTCCTTATGGAGCAGAGAATCAGACAATCATCGAATGTTCAGATTTGAATATTCTCTACGTATGGTCCATCTCCCTTGCAGAGCAGAGAATCAATCAATCAGATAATCCTATATGTCGAATATTCAGGTCTGGATATTCTCAAGTATCGTCAGTTTTTCTCATAAAGCAGAGAATCAGACAGTCAGATAGTCTTATGTGTCTAATATTCAGATTTGGAAATGCCCTCTGTATGGTCGGTCTTCCTTATAGAGCGGAGAATCAGACAATCAGATAGTGTTATGTGTCGAATGTTCACATTTGAATATTCTCTAAGTATGGTCAGTCCTTCTCATAAAGCAGAGAATCAGACAATCAGATAGTGTTATGTGTCCAATGTTCAGATTTGAATATTCTCTAAGTATGGTTAGTCCTTCTCATAAAGCAGAGAATCAGACAATCAGATAGTCTTATGTGTCTAATATTCAGATTTGGAAATGCCCTATGTGTGGTCTGTCTTCCTTATAGAGCGGAGAATCAGACGATCAGATAATCCTATATGTGGAATGTTCAGATTTCAATATTCTCTAACCATGGTCAGTCTTTGTGATAAATCAGAGAAGCACCGACAATCAGATAATCATGTATGCCGAATATTGGGATTTGTATATTCGTTAAGTACGGTCAGTTTTTCTTTTGAACCGGCGAAGTAGACAATGAGACAATCATATGTGTCGAAGTTTTAGAGTTTAATATCTTGTTAGTGCGGTCAGTCTTTCTTATAAATCACAGAAGGAGGCACGCAAATAATTTGAACCTAAAATATCAATCTTATCGTTGCTTGCCGACCAGGTGAACTTTTTCGGAATTCGGCAAGTCTGACGCGTGCAATGTTACTAGTTAACTGACACTCAGCACCCACTTCCCCCCCCACCCCCGCATCCACTCATCCAGTCAACCACTTCTCAGCAAGGGCATGCTGGTAAGAAGCGATGAACCATATACGCACAATATTCAAAGGTAAATACAGAATGCATGATATTATCTGATTGTCTGCTTCTCTGGTAGTTAGAAGAGATACACCATCTCTAGACAATATTGAAATGTGAATATAGAATGCATGAGATTATCTGATTGTCTGCTTCTCTGCTGTATTAGAAAGAAATACGATACATAGAAAATATTTAAACAGTGGAAAAAATCTAAATATGTTACATATTTAGATTTGACATCAACTGGTTATATGTTAACTGTTGAACATTTGAAAATGTGCTTAAAAATTTATTATGAAAATACTGAAATATTCAATGTTTCTCAAATAAAACTTCGTGTTTTAAAATGGAACTATTGGCTAGTGTTATAGTGGAATGAATATTTTATATTCAGCCCTTATATATTATGAAAAAGCTTTAGAAATTCAAGGGAATATTATTCCATACGATAAAAATCAGATTGAAAAATTAAAATTACAAATCCAAATGTATTCTGATGAAAGTAACTATGATGATTTAGCTTCAATTTTATTTATAAAATTAGTGAATAATGATGAATATTCTTCATCATTTAATCGGGTCGTGTTTTTCAATGATGAATAGGGTAGGCATGCACCAGTTACAGTTAACTGTAAAACTGTAAAACTGTAACTGTCATAACTGTGGAACTGTTATAACTGTAACTGTCAAAACTGTAACTGCTCATAACTGTAGACAAATATTCTAGAGTGAATTAGTCTTCTACGATTTGGAGACATTTTAAGAACAGAGACATCCTTAAAATGTATGCAAA